AACAATGACGAAACCCACAAAGCAGAGAGGAACCAAATTAAGAGAGAGAGAGAGAGAGAGAGAGAGAGAGAGAGAGAGAGAGAGAGAGAGAGAGAGAGAGAGATGTGAAGATGGGTTAATAGATGAAAGAAATAGATCGAGCAATGATATGGACCATCCACTTGTCCAAAGTCCTATAAATATAAAGCACCATTAATTAAATTACCTAATTCGTAATTATTAATTAAGCGATGTGTTCACGCACCTAGCCATTTATTATTATTATTATCATTACTATTTCTGGATTAATCATTTAATATGCAAGAAAAAAAAACATAGAAAAAGACCAACCGATGAAAGCATGGACGGACTAGATGCCGGTAAACTCGCTCCCTTCGCGTTTCTTTTTCCTTTTCACTGTTTTATACAATAATACTTTTTATTCCAGTCGGGCCCAGTGCACACTGCTCGACAAGCAGCTTTATTATTATCACTTTTTATTAAAAAAGAAGCTTTTCCGAGTGAGGCACGTTCTTGCTTGCCTTTTTCTTTTCTTTTCTTTTTTTTAACAACAAAGTTTCGCGCTTGACTTTGAACAGTATGACTCCGAAACTCCCGTTACAGAATTCATTCCCAATTTACCAAGATTTTGACTGCGGGATCGAATCCATCCATCCTTCAGATGAGTCCACGACATCGATAACCGTGTTGTGGCATGGAACCAGCCATCACATTTATCCCATTTGCTAACCAATCTTGTGAAAGACGCGACTTTTTTTTTTTTTGGGGTAACTTCGGCGCAGTCACGAGAACAGTTTGTAATTTCACTTCAGGCAATCCCGCGAATACAACACACCCCCACGCGAGCCCACCGGACCCAAAACGTAGGTCATATACATTCAGCATTTAATTTACCGGCCCTTTTGCCTCAAGTGCAATTACAAACTCAAACCCTGACTGCGCCGTAGTTTTCTCTTTTTTTTTTTCTTTTTTTTTTTCCCCCTGTTCGATATTGACTAAAAAAAAGCCTGACTTCTGCCGTCGAGTTGGTACATACCCCCAAGGATAGACCGACATATCGTTTTTCTCTCTTCTTCGGATTGGCTTTATTATTATTATTATTATTATCATTTATTATTATTATTATTATTATTATTATTATTATTATTATTATTATGTTTATTATAATGTTTATTATGTGTTTTATTATTATTATTATTTACTGACCAAAAAATCTCGTATGCGAACCTCCGTCCTTTTTTCTTTTTGAGGACGAGCTGCTTTTGAATTCCCTCTTGCAAACAAATCAGCCAGAAGCACAGACTCAATTAGATCATTCGTTATACCGTCACCCCATCCCTTCAGAAAGACAGCCCCCATTCTTATATGCGCCCCCCCCCCTCTCTCCCCCTCTCCCTTCCCCCCAAAAAAGAACACACCCCCATCCTTTCCACCCCCCAGTTCCCCAACCCCTCTTGTAGATATAATAGGAGAATAAAGCATTCGGTAGCGTTCTACAGGAGGTCCACAACTTAACAATGGCCCCTTCTTTCTACGCCCTACGGTACCCCTCCTCCCCCGCTCCCTACAGCCCTCTACTTACTGTCACCTTAGATCAGAAAGATCCACGGCCAGAAACAACGATAAAAATTCAACCATCGGCCCGATGGATGGAGCCATTCACTCTAATTACATGACCATTGCTTGGGATTCTTTAACCATTCATTGGTTATAAGACCGGACGCAGAACGGATAGCAATCACACGACCGCACATACATCGAAGAGCATGTACACAGATTTGTAACAACAAAAAAAAAAAAAAAACAGTTGACACTGCTTGTGGCTGTGGAGAGCAAAAAATCGATAGTCATAGAGTTCACACTCCCGAAAAGGAAAAAACAGGCGATTCATCATCGTGCCACACTCCCGGGATCTTCGATTGATTTTTTTTTTTTTTTTTTTTTTTTTTGGGTTCCAATCTTATGTTGAATCAATCAATTAATGATAGGTGAGCTCATCCCTTGATTGATTGATTGATTGAGTGAGTGAGTGAGTGAGTGAGTGAGTGAATGAATGATTGAATGAATGATTGATTGATTGATTAGATTGATTGACTGATTGATAAAATATAATATAATAGAATACAGTGACGTGGCGAAAATCACGATTGATTGGTCATTCGTTCAATCACATCCATTCAAAGGTTGACCAGATGCGTTGAACGCGACTGATGTTATTGTTCTTGGTTCATTCATTTACTAACAAGGGAAGAAGAAGAAAAAAAATCTTAACAAGACAAAGATGGAGCGTAAGTCTGACCTTTTTCTTTTTTCTATCCAAGAAATCAGAAAACAAAGCCGTAATCGAAGCCTGCAATAACCAAAAAAAAGAAAAAACTCCACCGACAGTGATAGTCAACGCACCCACTGTCACATCCATCGCTCATCACTTTCAGGGGAAAAAAAACGGTGGAAAAAAAAAAAACGAGAGAAAAGACTAGGGAAATAAAACTTATAAAAAGGGGGCGAAAAACGAGGGAAATAAAACGAGAGGGGAAAAAAACGAGCGAAAAAAAACAAGGAAAAAAAAAGGGGGGAGAACGAAATAACAATCTGAGGCGACTTACCTCCATGGACGCTCCGCTGCTCTCTTTTCCACCCCAAATTCGAGAGTGCACTGGGGGTGGGGGGATGGGAGGGGGGGGGGTGTAATTGCAGGTCCCACAACTCTCGATTTGGCAGTCAGATGCACGCAGGAGAGAAGCCGCAATTACGGTCAGATACATGCAGGAGCACACAAATTTCACATTTCAATTCCACTACAACACAGCACGCGCAAGCCAGTTCCGCCCAATCCCACCCGCGCAACGCAACGGAGCACGAGTGCGCGTAACAGAGAACGCGCAGCACACCAGACGCGCAACAGATCTCGCGGACCACACCAGACGTCGCGCTACACATTGCGCGCAAACCAATCCGGTCCGCTCCCACCCCGCGCATGACAGCAAGAGCAAATCAGTCTAGCGCGCGTTTGACTAAGTAGACCACACACACACACACCTAGACCTGGAGCGAGATCCGACTAGGAAAGGGGATTGGACTGAATGCCTGAATCTGGACGTTTTCCCTGACAGGTGCAGAAAATCGAGATTGAACTGCATTTCCGCATCTGTCCATAAACGCGTCCAGATTCAGGAGCTTAAATCAATATTCTTTCCTAGTTGGACCTCGCCCCTGCGCTGCTGCTGTGCTCCTCACCTCCTCGTGATGCGACCGTCTTCCCCCCGAAAAGACCGTACGGTCATTGTCAAAAAAAAAAAAAAAACGTGCGCTGCTGCTGTGCTCCTCACCTCCTCATGATGCGACCGTCTTTCCCCCGAAAAGACCGTACGGTCATTGTCAAAAAAAAAAAAAACGTACGGTTGTGCTAAATTCTTTGAAAAAAAAAGAAGAGTTGAGTTACGCTAAATTCTGAAAAAAAAAAAAAGTTCCGTTACATTCTTAAAAAAAAAAAAAAAAAAAAAAAAACAGCTTTTTTTTTTGTTTTTTTGTGGTCCAATGGACCACGAATCAGATATTAAACTGATCAGACATTAGGCTGCCTGTGTTCTTAAAAACAAAACAAAAGGCAAAAAAAAAAAAAAGTTACGACTACATACCGCCGTGTTGACAATACGCTCTATTTCGGGGAAAAGCGAAGTATTGAGTGGTAGTCCGGTTGGACTGTACGTACACAGAGATTCTGCCCAGATACGTTTCCTCGAATTGGCGCGCTGGAACCTGTGTCTTTTTCTTCTCTCTTTCTCCCTCTCTCTTTTTTTTTTTTTTTTTTT